ATTGATAATAATGTATAAACAATATAAACAACTAAATACACATACTTACAAGAAGATCTTGCCATAACAAGTTCTTCACAGCTTCCTCCACATGATCCCAAGTAGGATGGAGAATAGATATCTACACAACATAAACAACATAAGTATCAACAATATATTTGAAATGAAATTAACTTTGAAATAGAATAAATACCTTCTCTCTAGCTAGTGTACCCAAGTAGCTACTAAATTGGGTACCGAAGGGACCCGAGACCTTGCCAGTCCTAGGATCAACGAAAACAGTATAACTTCGGCCGATATGTGTCTAATGGTCAAGTCTTTCAACCGTGTAGATTGTCGACTCCTCTTATCGGAAAATGTCTTTCCGTGATGCCCGAGGAGATGGTGGAGGAGATGGTGGAGGAGATGCCATTTACCTCATAATGAAAAAAACATAGAATTATATCAATACACATGCAAAGTCTCCTCAATTACATGTTAAAAAAATAAATAAATAGAAACATAACTTAGATTGTATTAATATTTTCCCATATGCCTTCATCATGGTCATTGCGAGTAGCATGAACAAAGTCCTCTTCCAATTGGGATATAGCAATAGGCAACCGTGGTGAATTTTGAATGTTAATAAAATCATCTAATTCTTCTCCATTCTCATTTGTGACATCAATCATTTTTCCTTTGAGGACAACCGACCACCTATCATTTGATGGATCAGTGACATAAAACACTTGTTTTGCCCGGTATGCCATTATGAAGCGGTTCTTCGTTATGACCAATCTTGTTTATATCAATCAAAGTAAATCCCATTTGGTCTCTTTGGACACCAAGTATTACTATCAACCCATTTATATTTAAATAAAGGCACTTTGAATTTAATATAGTCGACCTCCCAAATCTCCTCAATCACTCCAAAGTAACTAATTGATGCCATGATGGGGTTTTTGTCCTTTGCACTAGAAAAGTGCATAGATGTTGCCTCAATAGATACTCCACTATTCTGGACCGTACTTTTGTCATCTTGTGCCTTCGTATAAAATGAGTATTTGTTAATGTCATACCCTTGCCAAGTTATAACATTATATCTAGGCCCATGTGCTAGCCATTTCGAGTGTATCGAGGCATTGTCACTTGAAAATATTTTGCTTTGAAACCAATTGATAAAGTTGTTGTTATGCTCTTTCATCAACCACCTTTCACCCATTTTGGGGTTTAGGTCCTTTAACATTGCTTTATGCGCATCTATGTAAGGAATAACCTCTTCGTATTGTTCAAAATATACAAGTGGGCGATGGTCAACTCTACATGATCTTTTGTTTGAATTCTAATACCACGAGTTCCCTTACCATTTAGCTCTATCATCATAGACGATTTCTAGGTACACCCACGAGTACGACTCTTGCCAAGTAATCTGAACAAAATTCTATGGCTTCTTCTGCAATATACCGCTCAACAATTGAAGCTTCAAGTCTATATGGATTTTTAGAATACCCTTTGAAGATCTTCATGTATCGCTTAATTGGGTACATCCACCTCAAATAAACCGGCCCACAAATTCGTATCTCCCTCACAACATGAACGATTAAGTGAATCATTATATCAAAGAATGATGGAAGAAAATACATCTCCAATTGACATAGCACAACCAGTAGCCTCATTTTCCAACTCATCTAGTGATTTTTCATCGATAACCTTGGCACAAATAGAATTGAAGAAAAAACATAGTCGCATAATGGCATGTCTAACATTCTTAGGCAATATGTTACGTATAGCCACTGGTAACAAGCTGTTGCATCAAAACGTGACAATCATGGGACTTTAATCCAATTAACTTCAGATCTTTCATGGATACAAGACTCTTAATATTTGAAGAGTATCCTTGTGGCACTTTAATACTTGCAAGACAATGACATAAACTACGTTTCTCCTTCTTTGACAAGGTGTGACATGTCGGTGGTAGATATGTTCTATTGCCTTCAGGCCTTGGATGTAATTCAGGACGTATTCCCATCTCACAAAGGTCTTGACGTGCTTTGATCCCATCCTTTGACTTTCCTTGAATGTTTAACAATGTGCCAATGAGACTATCACATACATTCTTCTCCACATGCATAACATCAATACAATGTCGTACTTCTAAATGGCTCCAATATGGAAGATCAAAGAAAATTGATCTCTTCTTCCACATGTTCTTGTCGAAGACCTTTTTGGGTCTTTCCAAATGTAATGCTTATGTTCTTCACTCGATCGTAAACTTCTAAATCGAGTCAATGGTTCTCTCGGCAATTTCATCCTCCTATATGCCATTAAAAGCTTTCTTCGAGTCTACTGTATGGATGGTCATGCGGAGAAATTTTTTGTGCTCGTTATAAATTGTCTTCTTTCCATGTTTCAATTGTATATAACTGGTCTCTTCTTCACAAATAGGACAAGCATAATGCCCCTTCACACTATACCCACTCAAGTTTCCATAGGCGGGAAGTCATTAATGGTGCAAAATAACATTGCATGCAACTTGAACTTCGCTGGCGATACCCATCAAATGCATCTACTCCTTCCTCCCATAATAGTGTTAAGTCTTCTATCAAAGGACTCAAATACACATATATGTCATTTCCTGGCTGTCTTGGACCTGAAATCATCATACACAACATGACATATTTGTGCTTCATGCATAACCATGGTGGAAGATTGTAAATCATCAATAAAACTGGCAATGAACTATGGTTACTAGTTAAATTTCCAAAAGGATTCATCCCATCTGCTGCTAATCCAAGTCTAAGGTTTCTTGCATCACTACCAAAACTTGGAAATAGACGGTCAAAATTCTTCCATTGGGGAGAGTCGATGGATGTCGCATTTGCCCATCACATGTTTTTCTCTTTGAATGCCAAATTAAATTTTCAAGCATCTTCGTGAGCGTACAACCGCCTAAATCTTGGAATAATTGGAAGATACCATAAAACTTTTGCAGGAGGACGTTTTTTACCACTCTCCGACTACAATCATCACCATCCTTCGTTTTGTAACGTGATACACCACATGTTGGACATTGGTCTAAAGATGAGAATTCTTTCCTGTATAACACACAATCATTAGGGCAAGCATGTATCTTCCTATATTCTAAACCCATCTGGACATAGTATCTTCTTCGCCTCATACATACTGGTCCAAGCAAGGTGTTATTGTTCCGGGAGCATCTCCTTCAAAAGTTGGAGTAATTCATTAAAACTTGTATCACTCCAACCAAATTTTGCTTTTAGATTGACCAATCTTAACACGGATGACAACCGTGTGAAAGTTGTACATCCGGGATACAAAGGTGTCTCTGAATCGGTCCTCAATGTATCATATATAGATGCATGTGCTTCAAGAAAGCTCTCTTGACCCACATCACAAAGCATGTCCTCTATTCGATCTTCGCAGGTTACATCATCCTCAATAGTTTGTGATATTGTTGGAATATCAACCACTTCACCGTGCCATGTCCATATGGTGTAATTCTTCATCATCCCATCGCAAATAAGATGCTCCCGCGTTGTGTCCATCTCTTGTACTCGCCATTTACACAATTAACGCATGGGCAGTAGATTTTTCCATTCATTTTGGGAGCATTTTGTTCTAGCAAATTTCAAAAAGGAGTCAACTCCATTCTCATACTCTTCCGACATACGACTTGCATTGACCCAAGTTCGATCCATCTAACTACACAAAAAGGCTTGCCTAGATATTCAAGGTTTATTAGAAAAGGTTTAACAAAACAATACAAAAAAAACGTGTACATTGCCTAACAATGCTCTAATGTTCCATACATGCTCTAATGTTCCATACATGCTCTAATGTTCCATACATGCTCTAATGTTCCATATACCACTTCGAAACCTAAACCTAAACCTAAACCTAAACGAAACCTAATGTTCCATATACCACTTCGAAACCTAAACGAACCTAGATCAAATCAAACAATATATACAAAATCATCCATCATCTTTCTAATGTTCCTACGCAGGAAATGCTCTAAATAATCCATATTTATGTTAAATGCATGTCGTAAATCATCCATACAACTTAATCTAACCCGATGAGAGCGCTGCGAGTGGGCTGCGAAGGAGCTGGCGAGGAGGCAGAGCACTGCAAGAGTGAGGACCGAGGCAGCAGACCACAGCGAATGAGGTAGCAGATGCGGCGAAGTGCGAGCGCGAAGGGGCTAGCGAGGGGCAGCAAGTGAGGACCGAGGCACAGTGAAGAAGAAGCGTAAGGAGGGAGTATGTGGGACGAAGAAGAAGCGAATGAGGGGCAGCGCGCCTAGGAGGAGAGGTATAAAGGACATTCAACGTCTGCTATTAAAAACCCGACGTGGATAACGCTTTCGACGTCGGTAAATCATGTAACCGACGTTGATTTTGGGAATTCAACGTCTGCTATACATAACCGACGTTAAATTTAAACATTTAACGTCGTCTCGTCATATAACCGACGTTGAATTGCAGTTACTACGCTCGGTTATTATATAACCGACGTTAAATTTTGTTTCATAATTACAAGTTTGCCATCAGCGTCTTGTACAACGTTCGGTCTTCGTGATAACTCAGACGTTGGATGCTCTGTCGTAGAAAGTGTTTTTCTGTAATAGTGTTAATTTAAAAGATAGTCAATTAGGGTCACTCCTGTGTAAGAGTTGATTGGGAACTAGATGTAGGGTTGATTATACCCGAACGAGTATAAATCACTGTGTGATCTTGTCTTTCTCCTATCTCTTTTTCACTGCTTTTCTCTTCCTTATATCTCTATGATAACATCAACTTATTTTCTTCCTCTTATCTCTCTAATGTATCATTTCCTCTATATTTGTTGAATTTGATAAATAAAATTAAATTAATAAATATTGGAATCTTAAAATAAATTTTTTACTTTAACATCTATTTTAATTTGTACATCTATTAATTTCATTTATCTAACAAAAGTGGTAGTGTTGTTAAGCACTAGATCAGTGGAATTGGCGGATGAAGAAGTGTTTGGAAAAAGGAGTGAGAAAATGGAAGGGATTTGCGGCTTGTAGAAACCATTTAGGGTGGAGATGTGGAAGAGAATATGTTGGTGAACCAGAGGAAGTGTTTGGAGAAGCGGACAAGGCTAAGAAAACCGTGAAAGCCACGAGGACAAGTATGGAAGCGTACGGAAAAGCCATTGTTTTTCTGGTTTTGAGAATGAATGAGAGACTCGAGGTTTGTAGAGAGGTTGGTATCACTGATATCAGTGGCGGATCTTCTTGGGAGCTGAGGGGGGTCGTGGCCCCCCCAAAGTTTTGTAACTCCCATGTAATTAATGATTTTGGCCCCCCCAAACATAATTAGTATTTAATATATTTACTTGTATATTTACAATTTTATCCTCCCAAATTCTCCTCGGTTTGTAACTTTCATATAATTTATGATTTTATTTCCTCAAACTTAATGATAATTTAATATATTTAAGTATATATCTACAATTTTATCTTTTAAACCTTTCATATTCTTTCTTCCTTTTATATTTATTAATAATATATTATTTAGCTTCTCAAAGATCAATGATCAAGATCCGCCACTGACTAATATGAACGTACTTGGTGGCGTTAGCCATTAGAGATTGGAAGTATGTGTTTGTGTCCCTATTGTTTTGGTGGAAGAAGAAAGTAGACACCATGAAATTTCCCACTAGGATGGAGAGGTTTGTGTGGAGAGAGAGGCTTTGGCATGTGTTTGGGTGAAGATGTTGATGGCGATGTACACAAAAGTAGACCATAATATGCTGATAAAGATAATATATATGATGGCTTAAATTCATTTTAAGTTCTCCTACTAAGGGAACGTGCAATTTGTTTTTCTATAAAAATTTATTCGTATGCTTAGATTTTATTTATGTAAAATTATGTAATTTCAGTCCATGTTAATATATCATTTAATGATAACAAAAAATATTAATAATAAAATCTTGTGATTAAATTTTACGATTAATATATCTTATATAATGAAGTAATTAATTGAAATTACTATTACATACGAAAACGAAAATATAGTATTTACCATCAATAGTTATAAAATTAGAGTAAGTTTTCTTACTTTTAACAACGGAATTATCAAATATGTCATTAAATTTTTATAAGAACTAGAATTATATTTTTTATGAGAGTATAGATTAGAAAAAGTTGACTTAGTCGTAATTAATCATACCTATTAAATTATGTATTCATCGTTTTCTTATTAATCATTTTATATATATTAGCTGAAACATGGTTGTGAATATGTATTTTAATTTTTATTTTAATTTATTAGTATTTATATATATATATATATATATATATATATATATATATTAATTTAATAATATTTACTGTATTTATTTTTTATTTATTAATTATGTATTATATTTTTTTTACTAATTACTTACCATATTTTTTATTATCTCGTATATCTTACTATTTTTAAATTATATAAATCATAATACCTTTTTATTTAAAATATGATATTTTTATATTTTCCTGGATGATACCAAAATATATATATATATATCATCCCCTTCTCATACGATGAGGATGCGGGTTGGAAATGAACCTTAAATTTATGTTTTATTATAATACTAAATAATGGTGGTATTAATTTCAGTTAACATGTTTTTATTTTTTATTTATTTTCTCAAAACTTGTGAGATTCCTTTCATTTATTTTAAACTTATATGTGCTAAAAAATTATTTTTATTTTTATTTTATTTCATCTAAACTATTTTTTTGTTTAGTGTTGTTGTTTATTTTAATTTATTGATTTGATGATGAAGTGTAAGTAGTAGATACTTCGAATAAAATATTTTATAGAAACCACTTTTATATTTATTTATTTGAATACTTTTATTGTTTTTCAATTTATTTGATTGGAGAATGTACCGATGCTGATACTTTGATTAAAATAGTGGTCAGAAACAGTTCTACAGCTGGAAGATTCGGAAACAGTTTTTTCTATCATTTCTAATACTCTACACTTTAATGAAAAAAAATATTAAAATTCAATTTGAATTGTTTTTATTTTAATGCTAAAATATTCATTGAAGATATAATATAAAGTAATTTAATTAATTAAAATAAAAAATAAGCATAAACAAAATAGGTATTTAAATCATACATATATGTTTTCTAAATATCTATGAAAAAAATCGTGAAAATAGAAAAAATAAAATCAAAAATTAATAATATAAAAATATTAAAAATAACAAAATATTTAATTTAATCATATACCATCATCTTAATCTAATAAAATAAATTTTAAACTCATTTATATATATATATATATATATATATATATATATATACAGTATTATCTTATCTTTAATTAAAGCATCTTGTATTATCAAACTTTTATTAAAATCCTTTTCATTTTTCCTTTTAACTTTAAAAAAATAATAATAATCCTTTTACAATAAAATCAACCACTTAGGTTTATTCACTAACTAAAATAATTAACTAAAAACTAAGAAAAAGGAATACTTAAATATTTCAACTTTTTTTCATTATCTTCTCGTAATTTCTTTTATAATAAACAGTTTTAGTTAAATTCATTCATTATGTGTATTAATATAATGTTTCAATACAATTTTCGTTCTCAGATGTATTAAGTCATGTTTCTGTTATATTAAATAGACAAAATTTTCTAATTAAGTTTCAATTTTTTTTTAATTTGTTGAATTCAGTCGAGAGACAAAATATGATAAATATAATCTAGCTGTTAAATATATTAGCTTTTGCATATATATATATATATATATATATATATATATATGTGTGTGTGTGTGTGTTGTGACTGGAATATTGGGTGAGTTCAGAGTAGACAAATAATTAATTTTGTTTTCAAAAATTTTTTAATAATCACTAGTTCTTATCATTTTTATGTTTACAATCATAAAACATATTATTGAATATATAGGTATATAAATATAAATTTAAAAAATTGTCAAAATTTAAAGTTTTATTAAATTATTAAATTAATCAGATAGGTAAAAACTCATTTTAATTCAAAAGTCAGATAATATCGAGAGACGAGTATCACGTCTTTGTCGAGTTTGACTTATAGTTGGTGGCAGTACCTAACTATGATTTAATAATAGTATTTTTTGCTTTAGAGAAGAACATATTCCCAAATCTGAAAAAGAAGAAGAAGAAGCTACCATATTTGAAAAGATAACTAAAGCTAGAAGCGTCATATTTGGTGAATTTATTACAAAACACAAGTTTTTCTTATTAGTGTTCCCCATATTTCTGCTTTTAATTATGGGAAAAAATAAATAGATGGACACTCAAAATAAACCTAAATGACATCTACAGATAAAAATATAAATTTTTATTGGGTTATAATACGATAAAAAGTTATGATAGGTGTTAAGAAATAATATAGATATTTACATAATTATAAAATCGTAGGAAAGAAATAACAGAGACATAAACTGTACCTTTGAATGGAAGGATGCCTCTTTGAACCAGTTCATCATATTGCAAGTATCCCACAAAGCCACACGCTGATGCTGTCCAAAGTTGAACTTCTGGAATGCCCAAATCCTTTGCAACTTTTCCAGCAAAGCCCATAACTCCATCGGCAATTATGCAACTAATTGGGGGCACGGCATCTAAAGAGTTTAGCTTTAACACCAACTCTTTGAAAGGGCGATAACAATTTTTTCTGATTGAATCACACAGTGATGGAATATCCTGAGTGGCATCCTTATCCGTAGGTGGTAATCCATCGGGTATGGTCTCAAATATGAAATCTGGGAGACCCTTAACAAAGTCTGCTCCATGGGCCCTAACAAAACGGTTGTGGTTGAACTCAGTGTTGACAAAGGTTATGTGAAAACCCATACAATGGAGGAGTTTGGTAAATTGCATAAAGGGATTCACATGGCCCTGTGCTGGGTATGGTACACATACAACGTGAGGCTTTGAGGTATGAAGTAGGTTCATTTTTTGTGAGTAGAATATGAGATATTTTGTGTTCAAATAACAAATCTCAACACAAAAATAAGAACTCACGAGGGTAAGGTAGATATGCTTTAGCTTCGATCCTATATAAGGAAAAAAGTGATCAAGTTGAATTATAATTAATTAAAAAAAGTTGTTAGAATAATATAATTAGATGTTACTTTTTAAAAAAATATATATATATATATATATATATATGTATATATATTATTAGATTCTGACCAGATTTATTAGATATTAGATAATGAGTGGACTCAATTTAATTATGACCAATTTTTTTATAATGTTTAAATTAAATATCAAATATTAGGATCGTCAAAATGGAGACATGATCAACCTTACGAGTGAAGGAAAAAAAATAGTGATTGTCTGCCTCATCTTATATTTTAAAAAATATTAAAATTTTTAATATAGTAACCTAGTATAAGTCAATCAATTTTGATTTGATTAAAATATATAATATATTTATATAAAAATAATTTTTAAATAGATTTTTAAATAAAAACTATATTTTTAAAATTTAAGCTTTTAAGTTATATTCATTAATTAATTTTCATTATATATATAATGATTTGATATTTAAATTATTCTAAAACAAATTCATTCAAAAATAAAAGTAGGAGAATTATTATATGTTCTCATCCTTGTTTTTTAAGTAATAAAATGATTTAAAATAATATTTTATTTTAACTAATTTATAATATACGTGTTAATGGGAAAATCGATAAAGGGATCGAAAAACGAAGGAAAGAAAAAATCGAAAACCATACGATTGGTAAGAGATATCGAAACGCATTTTCGATGAAATTGGTAAAAGCTTGGTAACCACAAAGATAAAAGTACATCGAGAATCAAAATCGAGAATCGAAGAAACAACTTTCGATGCCTATTGTCGAAGTTAGAATAGTACAAAATTAAAGGGAATCAATAGCAAAATTTCGAATACTCGATGTCCGAAATCGAAATCGAGGGAGCGGTTAACACACGGGGAACATGGGAAACAGTTTTAAACCGCGACGAAATCGAAGGAGGAGCGGTTCCTTATACGTAAGAACGTGGAGTGCGGTTTTAAAACGGTAAGACTAAAGGAACGGGCACGTAAGATCGTGGTGATAGTGGTATTAACCACTCTTGGGAGGTCACTTGAAGGATGCTCTATAAATAGAGCGAAGACTGGAAAGGAGAGGGGGGAATTGGCAGAGAGAACAGAAATACTAGTTAGAAGTCTACAGGAGAACGACGCAATCATGAAGTTTCTGGCGATCTGGATTTCCATTTTCATTGACTGCCTTTATCGCTTTCTTTACTTTCCCTGGTAATTTATGTTTATGTTATTTACTTTGATGCAGTTTACGTTCAAGCAACTTTAAGTTCATGTACTTTCGATTCCTTGTTATTTGACTATTTAAGATTATGCATCTAAGTTTTTTGCTATTTACATTTATGCAATCTCGATTTCCTGCCATTTACATTCCCGCAATTTCGACGCATTGGTAAAAGACGTAGAAAACGTGTTTTCGATGAAATTGGTAAAAGATACCGGCAACCATAAAGATAAAAGCACATCGAGAATCAAAATCGAGAATCGAAGAAACAAATTTCGATGCCTATCATTGAAGTTAGAATAAGTGCAAAATTAAAGGGAATCAAAAGCAAAATTTAAAATACTCAATGTCTGAAATCGAGATCGAGGGAGCGGTTAACACACACAGGGAATGTGGGAAACAGTTTCTAAACCGCGACAGAGATCAAAGGACAAGGGAGCAGTTCTCTTATACGTAAGAACGTGGAGTGCAGTTTTCAAAACTGTAAGACTAAAGGAATGGGCACGTAGGATCGTGGTGATAGTGGTATTAACCACTCTCAGGAGGTTACTTGAAGGATGCTCTATAAATAAAGCGAAGACTGGAAAAGACGGGGAATTAGCAGAGAGAACAGAAATACTAGTGAGAAGTCTACCGGAGAACGACGCAATCATAAAGTTTCTGGCGATCTGGATTTCCATTTTCATTGATTATCTGTACCGCTTTCTTTACTTTCCCTGGTAATTTATGTTCATGTAATTTACTTTGATGCAGTTTACGTTCAAGCAACTTTAAGTTCATGTACTTTCGATTCTTTGTTATTTGACTTTTTAAGGTTATGCATTTAAGTTTCGCTATTTACACTTCTGCAATTTCAATTTCCTACTATTTACATTTCTGCAATTTCGATTTCCTATTATTTACATTTCTGTAATTTCGATTCTTTGTCGTTTACACTTAATGCAAATTTGAGGTTTCTGTATTTTACATTTCTTCGTAGCTTTATATTCTATACTGCTTTTCAATTTGACATTTTACTGCTTTCTTTACTTCGAGTGCCTTAAATACAAAATACCAAAAATAGCGCTTTCGATTGTCATTAGGTTGCATTAAGATTTGCGGTACTATAGGATTTTCGATTCTCATACATATTTCGATTGAAAATAGTTTGCTAGCCTAAGTAAAAAGAATCTACGTGATTGGAATTTGGTTAGTAACAAAATTCCCTAAAAATCGAAATCCCGATCAAAATTCCAATTCGAGAAACAAATTGGCGCGCCCGGAAGTAGGGGGCATTTGTGTCGAAAAAAAACACAAAATCGGTTACCGAAAGTTACGATTAAGGAGTGGCCGAGTAATAAGAATGAG